TAATATTCCTAATGTGCAACAGTATTTGAAAACATTTTATTTTATGAGATGCTGTCGGCAGATGTCACAAACTATGATTGAACACACTAGATTATACTCTTAATGTTTCATTGCGTCAGCGGACATTGTAACATAAATAAAGCATATATTATATATGACTGACACATGTTAGATTACATACCACCCAAATGCGGTTTGATGGCCAATCAGACATTATCGGGACCAAGCGGTGATGAATAGGGCAGGGCAGCTCAAGCTTTGAACGCAGCCTCACGCTCATAAATATTCCCTGCATCTATCTGGATTCTGCAGGCATATCACTATCCCACAAATCAAATCTGCAACTTACTCAGCTGTTGTTGGTGCTCATGTAATCTTAACTGAATGTCTTTCTACCCAGGTGTTTTTTCGATCTGCATCTCTCCTCGCCATCATTCCATTTTTCATCTTTTGAGGGCACCTCTACATTTGTATATTCATCACTCTTACGTGCTGTTTGCCACAGTGAGATAGATGCTTATGAACGGATCATTAAACAGAGCTTCGGTCTAGTGGACTGAAGCAGAAAAATAAGATCTAAGCTTTATGAGGAAGTAAATGGCATATCATTGTTTACCTGGCTTTAATGAAGATTTGATGTCCAGCTGTTGCTCGACAGTCGCAAGTCATTTCAAATATATGTTTTACAGAACTTAAATTTAATGGTTTTAGTGGGGGAAACAAGTCAGGGCAAGATTTGAGTTAAGATTAATCAGTTTGGGCCCAAATAAGTTCTCTTTCCCAAACTGCAAGGTACACTGTAGTTAATTCATTGTCATTCTACCCGAGTTGCAGCTGCCAATCAATATCTTATTATCAAGGCTCATCAACCTCAGTCTCAATACAACTGTCCTGATGCCAGCCCCGATTAATGCCAAGGTGCCAATACTGGCTCAAGAGTTTTACAGAAACGGCTGAGTTTCTTCTTCCCTCCTGACACTGATTAACTCCAAATCATTACAGTTTTTTATTGGATTCACTTCGTTTCACAAATGAGACACTTATCTTCCAGAGACAGGTATGAAAGTCAATACAGTTTGCAGTTTTTGTACACACGCTGGTACCACAGAGTTTTGTATTTTTCCTGCTGAGAAAATGTTGAGTGTAGAAATATTACATTGGGGTTTGTGCGTCAGTGGAGGTCTGGTGGCTAATCCTGTGTTCCACCAACGTTCCCCACTGGCAGGACTGAGGCTGTTCAAGTGAAGGACAGAGCCATGTTGTCAGTGAACCAGCAAGTGTCCCGATAGCCTTCTAATAGCTCTGGTAGTATCATTTCTTTCCTCCGCCTCCGCTTTGATGTGGGCCCTCCTTCCTTAGGCCACCGGCGATGGGGGAATAGCCTTTCATATGGGAGCTGCTGCATGCCCAGGGTCCTGCTCAGTCTAATCCGCCAATATGTTTCACTATGACAAATCCCTCACTGTATTGATGTTGATCCAGAAGAAGAAAAAAAGTTGAGGGCCGAAGTTTGTCTCTCCTTAGGTTATTTTATGTTTTTTTAGGGGGGCTCGGGGTAAGAAGAGACTGAGAAAAAATTGGAAGAGAAAAGAGGAAGGTGAATTTTCCTCAGGAAGTTAATGAAAGTCCTTGAAGTGAGGCAAGGGAAGCTGTCACCTGCCCTGGTGATAGATAGCAGGCTCACTATTATTAGCATTCCCAGCCCCAGCCTAGAGTTTTATGCTTTACTAGAGCCATTTGTTGATTAATTAATCAGGTAATGTATGCTATCTGTGCTACAAAAGAGCCCAGATATTGCTCCCTTGGCTTCGCCTGGGCTCTCTGCGCAACCACAAACCAGGATCTCCTACCAGTCGACAGTGCATTCGAAAGATTACAATTCCAATGCAGCCACTACCAAAGAGAAGCCATTTCAACAAAGGTCTTGGCTGCTCTTAATGTAAAGTAGAATAATAAACATCCGTGAGGGAAACAGTCTCCCATTTCATGAATATATTCACTTCTACCGGCCCAAAGTCAACCTTGTCTGATGTAATTTTTTCAGCTTTCGGAGAAAGTTTTCAAACTGTCAAATAAAGCTCAGCTATGAAGAAGGTAAAAATAAACTCGGAGTGAAGCACAGCGGCTCTGGGAGTCTGCAGAGCTTAATGCTTTCTCCTGTTCCTCTGTCTGAAATTGAACGGGACCACTCAAAAAAGCCCATGAGAAACATCATAATCAATGTCTGTGTGTACGAACATACACATTATGTAATATAAACAGTCAATAAAAATCCAGTCATTTTCTGTGATTATATTTATTGAATTTCTTCTCACTTGTGGCCACATGCCCTCATGCCCATGCACTTTTAGTTATTGCCTTGTCTTTACAATCATCAAATTTGTTCATAAAAGTGGCCTGCTTTCCACCAATCTGACACTCATAAAAAAAAGTTAAAGGTTTGCAGTTATCACATTTAAAACTAGTAACATATGACAGTAGTACAAACAACATGGGCTGCCAGAAATATATGCACATTCTCATTTCTATTAATTTAATTAATTGGGAGAGAGAGGGGATGACATGCAGGAAAGTGCCACAGGTCAGAGTTGAGCCCAACTTTTTGCAATTTCTATCAAACACACGTTCAGCTTTTCTGCAAGGAATATTTTACCCAGATATCCCTTCCAAGGTTGTAATGTTATACAGAAGTCACGGTTCGGCTTATACCCCAGTTTAGGAGGCATGTTTCAGTACAAGTTTGTTACAGCAGGGAAGAAAACCAACTGCGTAAAGGATGTTTCTTTTCCTTTATTTTGAACAGACAGTAGTGAAAGTGTCAGACAAATCCTCTTGCTGAGAACTGAGGAAGCATTTTTCCACTGGCAACTTTGGTACACTTTTCAGTTTTATAGCTTAACTTATTGCATTCTGGGAAAATGTTTAGTGTTCATACAGTGTAGTACAGAAATGTTTGAAATGTTCCTTATTTCCCAGTATCTCTTATATAATAATATTGAAATAAATATATATAAATATTGACAAAAAAACTCAACTCATAACTAGTGTTTCAATTAGTTCCACTTTGGCTACATTTAAACATTAAAGGCACCCAAACATTTATGTATTACACAACAGTGGTGCAATGCTGACACGCCATCCTTGTCTTTTCCACAACTCTCTCTTTCCTTTGCTGTTGTAGCTGACTGGGAACAACGGCCCGACATTTCATTTGCTCTCCCTGTAGTGTGACTGACTCGCACACCAAACCGCTCATTATGCTAACCTGCGTGCTGCTGCGTGCACCGGACCATGACCACTATACCGTGATGGTTTGTCACGAATACACAAACCGTTACAGCCCTACTCCCTTCCTTATGTAATCTCTTCAACTTTACCAAGATACATCACACAACTTGTCTTCGAACAGTTGTTGAGGGGCTAATATATATGATTTAATGATGTGTTCAGCACTCACAACTCTTTACCCATCAGACAGTACATTTTGACTCTTCTGACTCCCATTTGGTTTTCACATATAGTATATATTGAGCCTCTCCCACTTCCCCCTGCAACGAATGATTGAAGGCTGAGATGACTCCAGCGCCTACCCTGGTTTTTAAGCATCCGCAATAACCTTAATTATAGCATTCATCTCTATGCAGTGACCAATCCTCACCTCATTTATAAAATAATCCCTCAACTGTAATTACCTAAAGAAATCTTAGTTTCATAGGTAATCAGCGTTAAAAAACATGGTGTTCAAATGGTTGCATATAATTAGGCTTTGCATGCCAGTATCAAAAACCACACACCATGGGTCAGAGTAAATAGAATAACATTGTATCTGCTGTATATGGTGTACAGATGTGCCTCTATCTCCATGTGCAAAATGACCATCCGGTGCACTTCCTGGATATCTGTCTGTAATACTTCCTTTCTCTGTATCCTGCTGTTTTGCATTTCCTCCACAGCTGGCACCCTTGTGGGGCAGCAGGAAATTACATAATTTTTTCATGATATTGCCTTTCCTGTTCTGTCCTTTCTCTCCAAATTCTGTGCTCATGAATAAAGTTGGCGTCTGATCTTAGTGTTATCCACAAGCACATTGTTGTGAGTAATAAAGTCTCAGCCAGTAGAGTCACATAATAGAGTTGTCCATATATTGTGTGTGTGTTTGTGAGTTTACTGTACTCCCTGTCAACTGCATACCTCCTTTCTATTTTCCATCCCTCATCATTTTCTCACACCCCTCAGTCAGCCTCCAGTCTCCAGTCATTTACTTGCTCGGCACCAAGCTCAGCCGACCAGGGGAATTTACGATCATCGGCTTGGCTTATTCTCACCTCGCTGTAAAGCTGTAACGGATTTACCGCCACCGGTGTGTCACTCCCGTCATTAAAATGTAAAAGTTTGCGACACTGCCTGAAAAGTTACAAATGATGCCAGTGAGCATGGCCGTTTCCTCCACTTACATTTCTCCTGGTTGCAGGTAGTTTGTTCCCTCCTCACTCAAAACTAAATCATGAGCTGTCAATGCTCCCATCACTCTAAGTAAACTCTACAGCTCAGGAAAGAAACGGGGAGCTCATCCTCTCTTTTAAAAAAGGGGGAGTGTAGCCATTTTCTACCTTTCAGACTTACTCTTAGCATCGCACACTGAATCTTTTCTGCTGTCCTGGATGGAGACTTGTGGCAGGAGGGAATTCACTATGTTGAGTTATCTTTTGATATGGCTTGGTGCATTTTGATTACATTTATATGAAAATGGCCAAGTTATTCTTTCAATAACGAATGGGTACCTGGGGAGACTCCTCCTGAGCTGTCTCCCCAGTACAAACCCGACCTGAAGATTTTGACAGTTTGACACTTTAATTTCCTACTGAGTATTTCACCTGAATTTCCCGGACAAAGAAAGAGACATGCTGTTGTAAAAAAAAAAAAAAAAAGTCCATATTGGGTTGGAAAATATTAAAGCCTGGGCCTCAATTAAATCCTCTCTGCCCTTCTCTTTTACTTAGGTTTGGAAAGCACCGGAGGGATGAGCGGCCAGGAGACAGGATGGAGAGGAAGGGCTCCAGTAAATCTAAAGCTGAGGACATGCAGGCGTCAGAAGAGGAGACCCTGCGGATGAGGCTGGAACAAGAGAGGTGAGTGCTCAGACAGAGCCTTGGCTTGCTAAAAGCCTAAACAATTAAGTCCCAGCTGAACAAAGAAAAAAACCCCACTGCTGACCGGAAAATTAGCAAACAACCTAATTAGCAAAATGGTGGAGCAAGGTTGGGAAATTCTGGGAAAGCACTCAGATGTCAATTTGTGAAATGTCCCTTTCTTTTATATCAGTACATTAAATAGATCATTTATGGATTGTTGTTGCCAGGGCCATTCAGAGGCGCTGACCTCCTAATGGTGCTCGTAGGGCCCCTGTGGATTTGGCATGATTGAATGGTGCTCATTATAATAGTGAAATCGATGTAGCTCTGCATTTGTCTTCTCCTGCTGCTCGCCCAGGTTGTTAATCGCTCAAGAATACGCTGTTCCCTTTTTATCTGCCCCTCCTGGCTCTATGTCCTCTGGTGTTCGTGGACATCAGGTTGTCCAGAAGAATAAGGCAAGGCATTGGTTTTGCAGCGTACGCCTCATCCCTCACAGACAAGCCCCATTTAATTCCTTCCAGCAGGAGAGACAATATTGGTGGCAGGGTGAATGAAAAGACAGCTTGCTGCCTGCATTGTTCTCCAGCAGCCAAATGAACTCAGTAATCAAACTGCCGTTGGTAATGACAGCTAATTGAATAGAAACAATAGGGCTTGATACCGCTCCCTCTTATGGTGAAGGGAGAGAAGGATGGATGGCTGTCGAAAATGCATGGTACCACAAACACAAACAAGTGTGCACATAAAAAATCACTCACAAAGGCCCTCTTCCTTGCTGAATGGAACATCTGGAGGCCTTGCTCAAAAAGCTGTAGCACATTTCTTTTTGGTATTCAACTATGACTTGTAGTGAAGGTCCTCTCCCCTGAGGGTGGGAACCCCTCTGGCTGAGGGCCCAACACATTTCCCTCAGCGCACCCTGGAGACCAGCAGGCCTGGCTGTCCATGCAGTTATTTCCCCTTTGAGAAGCTCCCAAACGACTGTCATGCTAAGCAGCAGAATCAACAGAGACACACAGTGGGCATGAGATATGTAGAGTACATGCCCTTGTGCACAACCCTCCCCTCCCCATAAACACATACACAGATTTAAATCCTGTTCCCTACTTCTTTTCTTTTACCGCTGTCACCCAATTTCTTTGTCTGCTACTTTGTCTTGCAGCACATTCTCATTCCCTGTCTTGTTTGTGTCCGTTCTGCATGTGTGAGCTCTGGTCTCGGCTCCCTGTGCAGGAGGGCAACCTAATTCTTTTCTTTTGTACCTGTTCCCAAATCTCATCACTCAGCCAGGCTAGGATTGTCCCTTGGTTAATGGAAAGGGAATCCTGAGGGAAATCGTGGTGGGTAATAATAAACCAACCTGCCATGAAGACAAGTCGATATTCAAAGCATTAGGGTTCAGCAGGACGACAGCTCAGAAATCCATTACTTCTTGTATTTTTTGGTAGCTCTACTGTATTACACCTCATCGTGCTACTTTTGATTGTCATAGGTCTCTGCTTAAGGCACATGGTCTGATTGATTACATCTTTGCCATTGCGTCAGGACCATTTAAGAGTGCGTTTATAAAATTATGGATCAGATCGTAACAGGTTTCCGAAGCTGGCAATCGTCAGCCAGCACTGTGTGTCAGCATGACCCAGGGATGGGCCGCAGCCAAACTCCTGGCTCGGTTGACATTAGTGATCATTAATTCAAGCAGACGGTTTTGACAGGGGCTTTTAGTGATTCAAAATAGGAGTCAGCGAAGAGGTGAGACAGATTAATTCATAAAACCTGCCCTTTTTACTCTGCAATAAGGCAGCTACAGTTATATATTTAAAACTCTGACCTTGATATGATTCACACAATTTATGGTTTGGCCTGCAGTCCTTGCAGACACAACTCGTTTATTTTGAGTAAAAATGTTCCCCTCCATTGATATCTTGTCAGCCTCTTATGGACTGAAGATGATGGAGAAGAGAGTACATAAAACTTTGACTTCATTGCCAGAGCACAGTGCAGTACATCCACTTGATGAAGAGTGGTTATCAGCAGCATTTGTTTTGCTAAAATCTGGCAGATTCATACAGCTCCTGTGATTGACTGTTTCATGTCTCATCAAGGCGGCATTAGAACCTGTGGTTAGGCTGATGTAGATCTTTGTTCAGCCCAGCAGTGGCAGCCATTACTCTGGTTTCTTTATGCCTGTGGACAGCACCCAAGACACCCCTATCTGATTGGCTCATGTTGAGAGGACTGTGGATACAACAAGCCCTCTGATTGGACCTTGGGTGGGTTGGAGAGCAGTCGTTTCTGTGGCCCTCATTCATGCAAGGCCATGGGGGAGAAGAGAGGTGGAGAGAGAAAGAAACACATGCGGGGCGGGTGGTGTTGTTGGAGCTTCTATCAGTCTCTGACTTATCTCTGCACATGCTAGCCCTGAAACTATATTTTCTCTGCCAAAGTGGGAAGCACACAAAGACAACCTGACAATGTTCCTTCTTCATTTTCCGCCTGAACTGAACTCCATTCTCTCTGTCTTTCTCTGTGGCAGCTGATTATGATGTCCATTCTCTCTTATCTGCTTGGCTCTGGATGGCTTCTAATCAGCGGCTAGCACTCCACTGCCACTCTCCTTGTTCCCGCTCCCCAGACCACAGCAGAGCACATCACTGTTTTTTTTCCCTCGACAGTGGCCTGCTTCCCCTTGTTTGTTGTTTGACTTCCTGCTGACTCCAGACAAACAAAACCTGGCCAGTGTTTCTGGAGTGGGTCAGTCAGCACAATTCCCTTTTGACAAACCTGCATGGATTAGGTGTCTTTCATTTAACAAGAGAGAAGTTCCACGTCCATGTACCATGTTCAGGGTACAGTGCCACATGTCACGACCTGGCTCTGTAACCGTGACAAAAAACGAGGAGGAACGCAGTTGAACAGGCAAATTTATAAGTAATGCCTTATTTAAACATTAACCTAGAATGGTCATACCGAGCAAAAGAACTAAATCAGGAGATGAGGGCTGTGTTTGTCAGTAACATCAAGTAAGTGAAAGTGTGTGTATGCATGAGTGTGGATATATAATGAAAAGTAACCATGTTCTCGGCATGTTATAAACACAACTACTCCAAATACAACAAATGGTAATAAGATGCTAGATAGGAAGCCCAACCGTACCAGCCAGAGAGGCGGGGCTTTAAAGCTGGGAAACACCCGGGCCGAAAGGTGCTTCCGGCTATGCCAAGAATTGGTCGCAACCCCAATGTACCGATTGGCCTTTAAAAGAATAAGGAAACATTAATGCCACTTAGGGGACCGTCACACACGGAACAAAAAAACAACGTGATTTGCTCTAAGGCAGATGCTTTTCTGTTTTTCGTCACAGTGATTGTGGACACTACATTATCATTCCACTTTGACAAACCACCTCATTATTTTAGTATCCTATTTGAGTCTCATTTGCATAGTGAGTTCAAAGGAAGCTCCAACTGGCTGATTGGGAAAAGTGATTACATTTGTAATTATATTGATACCTACAGCAAGTTAATGCGATTGTTACACTGTGAATTAACACTACGAAAACTTGGACAATTATCTCTGTGATTGCATTATGCTGTTATGGGCCAAGTGTCAACACAAAAGACTAGCTATCGGAGGTTTGCGATTCTGCACAGACAGCTGCACACAGACTCATTTACTGCACTTTGATTAGATTCAGATACATTCTGCCCTCCATCTGCACTTCAGAACAATAGAACGTGTTTTGGTGAGGGGTTTATTGAAAAGAAAAATATTCAAGGCAGCTGGATGAGAAAGTAAGAGAGCAAATACATTCTGTTTCATCCACCACGGTAACAATGCATATTGAAGAGGCAAGCTTTCAAGCTTCTAAGTGTGTTGACTTCAAAATGAGTGTCTGAGAGTACAGACAGAACCCCCCCTACCCCTTCATCTCTCCCCCATCCTCCCTTGGGTAGATTACACATTGACAAACATATGGAGAAGGAGTCTGCTGGCTTTGTTGGTCCAAAAAATAGCCCTGTTGGATAAACAGTGAGATTTATTCAGTGTGGAGAGGAAGGACTTGAGGTGAGCTGACATGTTGCCACCAGTTCACACCAGGCCTCTCAATCTACCAATAATAATGTGTTAAAGTAATTACTTGACTTGAGAGTTCTCTGCTTTGCCATTTATTCGCTGAAATGAAGCTTAAGCAACAGTATCATTACAAATTCAGTTTTAGATGAAGTGAAGGTGTGGTATTCAGACCCAATTTAGTGACAATGAATGGTAAGAAAAAAAACAGGGAGAACAAAAAAAAGTTGAAAGGA